ATACAAAAAGCAATTGTATTTCTATACTAGAAATGAATATGTGGAAATATGATTTAAAATAAAAAACCATTAAGGATAAATATAACATGATTACACTTATATGAGGTATCTAAAATAGTCAAATTCATAAAAGCAGAGAGTAAGGTGGTGGTTGCCAGGTGTTGAGGGGAGAAGAAAATGGGGAATTATCCAATAGATGTAAAGTTTCAGTTACGCAAAATTAGTAAGTTCTAGAGATCTGCTGTATAACAAAGTACCTACAGTTAATAATATGGTATTGTGAACTTTATGTTAAGAGGCTAAAACTTAAATGCTCTTAGCAAAAAACAAAGCAAAACAAAAAAACACACAGAAGTTTTTGGAAGTGGCGGATGTGTTTGGTACTTTGTGGTGAAGGTATCATGGGTATATGTCCAAACTCATCAAGATGTATCCATTAAATATGGGCATTATTTGTGTATCCGTTATACTTCAACAAACCTTAATATTTAAAAATAAACACCATTTGCAATCACTCAAAAAATGAAATCCATACGTGTAAATCTAACAACATATATACTAGACTTGTACGTTAAAAACTATGCAATGTTGATAAAATATCTACATTGGTCACATAGGAATTTCAGATTTAGAAACCTTTTGAGGCTAAGAAGCCAAATCAAGGCAGATTTTAGATTTTACCTATAGTCTTAAGGTTCTTGGGCCTGCTAGGAAGTGATAGTTTTTACTCAATTATCAGGCTGGAGCCTGGGCACGGTGGCTCATGCCTCTAATCGCAGTACTTTGGGAGCTGAGGTGGGTGGATCATCTGAGGTCAGGAGTTCAAGACCAACCTGACCAACATGGTGCAACCTTGTCTCTACTAAAAATAAAAAAATTAGCCAGGTGTGGTGGCATGCCCCTGTAGTCCCAGCTACTCAGGAAGCTGAGAATCTGAGAGGCAGAGGTTGCAGTGAACTGAGATTGCGCCACTGCACTCCAGCCTGGGCAACAAGAGTGAAACTCCATCTAAAAAACAAAAAACAAAAAAAAACCAAAATGACAGCTGGGCATGGTGGCTCATGCCTGTAATCCCAGCACTTTGGGAGGCCAAGTCAGGCAGATCACTTGCAGCCAGGACTTCAAGGCCAGCCTGGCCAACATGGTGAAACCCCATCTCTACTAAAAATACAAAAACTAGTTGGGGGTGGTGGCAGGCACCTGTAATCCCAGCTACTCGGGAAGCTGAAGCATGAGAATCGCTTGAACCCAGGAGGTGGGGCGGAGGTTGCAGTGAGCCAAGATCGTGCCACTGAACTTCAGCCTGGGTGACAGAATGAGACTCCGTCTCAGGAAAAAAAAAAAAAAAAAAAATATATATATATATATATATATATATATAAATTAAAATCAGAAATAAGAGTGGGGAAATTATTACCAACTTTACAAAAACAAAAAGGATTGTAAGAGTATACTATGAACAATCCGTATGTAAAAAATTAGATAACCTAGATAAAATGGACAAAATCCTAGGCATATCAATTACCAAAATGGATTCAGGAAGAAAAAGAGAATCTAAATAGGTCTATAACAAGTAAGAGTTTGGTAATCAAAACTTCCCAACAAAGAAAAGTCCAGTACTACATGGCTTCACTGGTGAATTCTACCACTCACTTAAAGAATTAACACCAGGCCGGGCGCAGTGGCTCAAGCCTGTAATCCCAGCACTTTGGGAGGCCGAGACGGGTGGATCACGAGGTCAGGAGATCGAGACCATCCTGGCGAACACAGTGAAACCCCGTCTCTACTAAAAAAATACAAAAAACTAGCCAGGCGAGATGGTGGGCGCCTGTAATCCCAGTTACTTGGGAGGCTGAGGCAGGAGAATGGCGTAAACCCCGGAGGTGGAGCTTGCAGTGAGCTGAGATCCGGCCACTGCACTCCAGCCCGGGCGACAGAGCGAGACTCCGTCTCAAAAAAAAAAAAAAAAAAAAAAGAATTAACACCAATCCTTCTCGAACTCTTCCTCTCCCCGCAAAAATAGAAGAGGCCAGCATTACTTTGATTCCAAAGCCAGACAGACACCGTAAGAAAACTACAGACTAATATCTCTTATGAATACAGATACAAAAATCCTCAACAAAGCACTAGCAAACTGAATCCAACAGCATATTAAAAGGATTACACACCATGATCAAATGGGACTTATCCCACGAATGCAGTATTGCTTCAATATAAGAAAATCAAACAACATATCATTAATAGACTGAAGGAAGAAAAGCATATGATCATCTCAATCGACGCAGAAAAAGCATTTGACAAAATCCAAGGCCAAGTGTGGTGCCTCATGCCTATAATCCCAACACTTTGGGAGGCCAAGATGGGAGGATCTTTTGGGCCCAGGAGTTTGAGACGAGCATGGGCCACATAGTGAGACTTCATCTCTGCAAAAAATACAAAAATTAACCAGGCATTATGGCACATGCCTGTAGTCCCAGCTACTCAAAAGGCTGTGGCAGGAGGATCACTTGAGGCCAGGAGGTCAAGGCTACAGTAAGCCGTGATCACCCCACTGCACTCCAGCCCGGGTGACAGAGAGAGACCCTATGTTTAAAAAAAAAAAAAATCAAACAAAAAACTCAATACTGTTTCATGATTTAAAAAAAAAATTAAGCAAACTAGATAGAAGGCAACTTCCTCAACATGATAAAAGGTATTTATGAAAAATCCACAGCTAACTGTATACTCAATGGTGAATGACTGAAAGCTTTCCCCCTAAGATCAGGATATAAGACAAGTGCTTTTATCACTGCTATTAGACATTGTACTGGAAGTTCTAGCCAGAGAAATTAAGCAAGAAAAATAAATAAAAGGGATCAGAATTAGGAAAAAAAGGATGCAAAACTATTCCTATTCTCAGATGACATGATCTCATACGTAGAAAATACTAAAGAATTCACACACAAAGAGTATTCGATATAGTAAACTCAGTAAAGTTGCAGGGTACAAGATCAACAAACAAATTGGTTTTATATCTATACACTGCCAATGCACAATATTAAAAGGAAATTAAGAGAACAATTCTATTAACAATTACATCCAAATGAATAAAATACTTAGGAATAAATGTAACCAAGGAAGTGCAAGGCTTATACACTGAAAACTATAAAATGTTGCTGAAAGAAATAAAAGACCTAATGAAAGGAAAAGACATTCTGTGTTCATGGATGGGAGGACAAGATAGCAATACTCCCCGAATTTTATATATATATATCCTTATCAAAAATTCCAACTTCCTGTTTTACAGAAATGGATCCTAAAATTCATATGGAAATGCAAGTGACAGCCACATAATCTTGAAAAACAACCAAGCTACAGAACTTATATTTCCTAATTTCAAAACTTACAAAGCTTACAGTAATCAAAACAATGTGTTACTGTCATAAGGATAAACATATGATGAATGGAATAAAATAGAGTCCAGAAATAAACCCTTGCATATATGGTCAATCGATTTTTGACAACAGTCAAACACCAAGACCATTCATCAATGGGAAAAGGACAGTCTCTTCAATAAATAACTGCTATGAAAACTGGATGTCCAAATACAAAAGAATAAAGTTGGACCTGTTCCTTACACTATATACAAATACTAACTCAAAATGGTAGTTTCTCAATAAATTAAGCAGGGATTACCATAGAACTCAGCAATTCTATTCCTGGATATATGGGTAGACACTCAAAAACATAGAAGACAGGTGTTCACACAAAAACTTATATATGAGTTTTGTAAATAATGCCAAGTGTTCACTGTGGCATTGTTTACAAAAGCCAAAATGCTCAGCTCTATATGTTGAAAGGTACATATAGCCAGAGAAGGGAAAACTGAGGGCTTGCTGGCTTCTCAGCTAGTTGAGGGTTGAAGTCATACCCATGGACTGATGAGTGGATAAGCAAACTGTGGTATATTCATGCAACAGAATATTATTTAGCCATAAAAAGAATGAACATGCTAGAACACAAATGAATGTTGAAAAATGAGTGAAGGAAGTCAGTCACAAAAAGCTACATATGATTCAATTTATAGGAAATATTCAGAGTCAGAAAGCCCACTGAGACAGAAAGATTAATGATTGCCAGGGGCAAGGGAAGGGGGGAAAATGGGCAGTGACTGGTTGCTGGAATGGGATTTCCTTTGGTGGTGATGAAAATGTTCTAGAACTAGTTCATCATGATGGTTGTACAACATTCTGAATGTACTCAACGTCACTAATAGCTTTCATATTACGTGTATTTTCTCCACAATTTAAAATACAAATACACATTTTTAAAAATTCCCTCAAACCAGTGGGAAGGATTGAATGGAGCTATCTTTCCTTGTTTAGGGACAAGATCCCTGTCTGCTCCATGAGAAAGCATAAGAAAATAAATTCAAATTTTCTAATGTACTGATGAGTCCCAATTTTAATTGTGAAGTACAAACCAAGGTTCCATTGTCAGTTCAGGGTCTGCACCTGCTAACCAGACAATCTTCTTCCCAGGAATCCCTTCAGAGTACTTTTGCCTCTAAAATAATGAGGTTTCCAAAATGCGGACTTTTTAAAAATTCAAATTAATAGTTGCAAATCAGAGAATACAACTGGGCAAGCCTCACTGTTTATTAAACACACCACTTTATCTGGACTTCCCCATCCTGAAGCTGTCTAGTTATAAGACTGGAAAAATGTGAATGATTCAGGCCCTCCAGCTTTTCTGGTCATAGTAAAAGTCACATTGTGTTGACCTAGCTCTGTCACCTACCTAGGATCGACCCTCTAAAAAAGGAAATCAATTAGAAGGAAACTCTGGGCCTAATGGAACTCAAATCCCCCTTCTGTTGTTCTTCCTAGATTAGGTGTGTAACACTCAGCAACTTCCATCACCTGAAATGATGAGAACATTGTTTTTCTTCACCTTGCCTTGAGAACACATAACTGAATTTCCATTTTCTAAATCTGAATCAAACATTTTCTTCATTTCAGCATACTAGGTTGGAGGTGGTCTGCTACAGTCAGTCTGAAAATGAGTTGGTCTCTACAATCTCAGGAGACAAGCCCAAATCCTTCCGAGAACATCTCTCATTTGTGATGCCAACAAGAGCTTACAACCACAACTGCTCAGAATGGAGAAGCCAGAAGGATAGAGGCTGCTCCACCTCTGAATGCCCACATCACCTCTGTCTGGAAGAACCAGGTGTTCTAAGCTTAGAGATGAGGGAAAGGAGACTTACTGGGCTAAAAAACAGGACCAGAATAAACTTGACACAAGTCAGTCACAGACCTAACTGTCCAAGTCTGAACTCTGGAAAACTTGGGAGAGAGGTTCCATGATCTCTGAACTTGTCCTCAACAGAATGCTTGCTTGTAGCCAACATCCATTTTCATCCAGCCCCGGGTTTGCACACTGCTTCAGACCATGCAACAGAAGAGGAAACTGAGGCTCTTAATATCCCTTGCCTTCTTGTTGCATTCTTTGAAATTTGGTCCTAGAAATGAGCTAACTTCCCTAAACCATGTCCTCTCCTGAGGTGAACTGGACAAAACAAAGGCTTCCAAAGAAGCCCTTATATTCACAATTTGGATAATTCCAGAGTTTTAAGAGCTCCCTCAGAGTAATGCTTTACCCTTAAAGAAAATAACGCTAGCACCTGGTTGTCTTGGCTGCTCAGCTCTATATGTTGAAAGGTACACATAGCCAGAGAGGGGAAAACTGAGGGCTTGCTGGCTTCTCAGCTAGCTGAGGGCTAAAGTCATAGGGCTTGGCCTCAGCCTGCAGCACAGGAAAAATGGAGGATTTCTTGCACTTAAGAAGTTTATTAGTGAATGGGTTTGGGCCAGTTGGTGTTTACATGCTTGATCCCTACAGCCTTAGTGTATTGGCTGCAGGGCCTGGGATAGAAGCTCACTGTCTGCTGGTCACTGGTGATGTTACTCCAGGAAGATGATAGGCCTCCTCTTGGGTCCAAGGTACCAGGGCTCTGAGCCGATGCCATCAAACAGACTCCACTTTTGTTTCCAGTGCCTGGGTTGGGGAGATGAGGGTTTCTAGGATCTCAGTGTAGTAGGGACCAAACACCTGCTGATTGTGATGTGTCAAGTTGACAAACTTTTGGCCCAGTTCTGCCAGTTCTGCTTCAATGAGAGTAAGACCTCCAGGAAGGTCCAACAGAGACCGCTGCACACCAAGAACCAAACAGCATTTGAGAAACAAACGGATTCGCTGATCTGTGAGCAGAAAAATACAGTGATAAGGGAAAGAGCAAACAGACTTCAGGGAGAAAATTCCCCCTGCGCTCTACTCACCCATGTTCTAAGTTAACAGATATGTACCAACCTGCCCACTTACCTATAGATAAGGAAATTTGTTTTGTTTGGAAAGGGGGCTGCTATCTTGCTCTCAAGGACAAATATAAAAACCTAGTGTGTTAGTAAATTTCAGACTATTCAAAAGATTGTTTAAGTAGCCATCAGTTAGATCCTAGTGAGTGTTTGACCTAACAGGAGGAACTTAGACTGATCCTTCAGATGGCTAAGGTTAGGAGCAAGCTGGCCAAGTTCATGGCCTCCACTCCAGCATGAGGGTAGGGGATTCCCCACTATAGGAACATATCTTCCAGCTAAATTCAGCACTAGTTTCTTGTTGGGAGATGGGGGAATGTCAGATTTCTTGGGTGCAGTTAGAGAATGACCTGTAGGCCCAAGTGACTTAACCAGGTTGGCTGGATATATCCCACGCCTAGAAGTCTTCAAACTGAAATGGATATGATTTCAACCAGCATTTTGAAAAAACTCAAGGCTAAACAATGACGTACCCAATTACCATGCTTCAAGTTGTTAAAGTTTGAGGTTCCACGGTCGGGATCTCTCTCTTCCCTCACCATTCTCACTACCCCACAAGCATACTCACCAATAACACTGTGGACACAGTTCTCCTTCTTGGCAATGTTCTGGAGCTGTCCCATCAGAGATGCTGTATTGTCACTGCTCAGAGCAACAAGGCCCATATTCTTGAGGCTTTGATGGATTTCCTGAGATACCTGTTCACTCACAGTCAGTATAGCTTCCTCAGGCCTAGACCATGAAAGAAAGTAAGCTGGCACCTACCAGGTAACCCTGGCATAGGCCCAGGATCCAGCATGCTGTATACCAGATGCCAGGCCCACTTGAGGGAGAATGTCAGCCATCCTCTCCACCCCCAAACCCCAGCCCCTGGCAGGCTATAGGGCCCAGTGGGTAGGTACAATGTCCTCACTGTAACCCTCAAGACACCAGCTATTCTCTATATGTGGCCTTGTATTCTACTTCTTAGCAAACAAGGTAAATAATAAAATCAACTCTGGAAAAGTGTTTAGTTGTGCCCTTGGATCCGCTCAGCATTCTTTAGTCCCATGGACTTGATTTTTACATATACATGTTTAAGACTTTCTTAGGTATCTTCCAGAATCATCTGTCCCACCTCATCAATTATAACTACAACCTGGCCTTCTGATTCCTCTTTCTCCTTTGGTGTGATGGCTTGCACACAGTGGAATGTTTAATCAATATTGCTGACTGACTGACCAAGTCCTGGATATATGTGATGATACCAGCCCACTGTTAGCACTCAACTAGATAATGACCCTTTTGCAGCAAACTATCTTCCACACTACCCTTTTTGGAAGAAAGGTTTTTTTTTTTTTTGTTACAAGCCTTATGACCACTTATGGGAAGAAACCAACAATCTTTGTAGTTGGTTCCAAAGGACCTTTCTGTGGTTTGTGGTAGACAGTAAGCAATCGTTCATTACCTGCCTATGTTCTAAATACCACATATCGCCTACTGCTCTAAAAAATAACTATGCAGCTCACCTGGAGTGAAAGTCTTCCAACAGGGATTTGGTTATGCGTTTCAGTTTATCTACAAATTGGGGTGAGCCAAACAAAACACTGCCAGAGAAACTACTGGCCACCAGCAAGACTGAGGCCATGATGGTTAACTGATGCAACTGGGACTTCAGCTCCTGCAGCCGGGTTCTGTCCATCAGCAAGGTCTGGGAACCAGGGAAGAATAGGCTGTCAGGGGAAGTCCCGATGGAAGCCCTGAATACAAAACAAGGCAATGCCCCCAGACATTCCTACCTCAGGGAACTCTTCATTTTCAGGGTCCCAGAGAAGGAGGTTCAGGAAGCCCTGACACAGCACCATTGTGGGGCTGAGGGGCTCTGAGTTGTTGGTTGCCTCGTTGGGAGAGGGGCCAGCCAGGCTGGAGGAGTCAGAAGTGTCTGGGCAAGTCGGAGGTGACATGGTAAGGTCTGCTGCTGCTTGGGTCAGCCATTTGGTGGTGTGATTAAGGAGACCTATGACAGGTAAGGGAGTGTGTAAGCATCTTTAGCATCTTCATCTCTGAGGCTTCAAGACCAAGGTTCTTTTCAAGATATACTCCTGGTCAATAAATAAATGCTCCCTTCCCTCACCTAATAAGCAACTTTCTATTCCTAAAAAGAGACAGAGTACTCTCTAACATTATAAAAGTCAGACCCAAGGTAGTACCTTTCCCACTCCTGCCCTCACATTATATACATACTAGGCTGCTTATTGAGGAGTTCCTGGAATTTAGCCCGTTCATACTGAATGGAATGTTCCTGCAGGTGGGGTTGAAGGCTCTGGATAGTGTAGTTCACCATGTCCATTTTCATCAGGCCCAGAACCTGGAAGATTCCTCTGACACAAGGGGAAAGAGAATATTTATGCTATGAAATGGAACCTAGTAAGCTAGAAACCCACCCAAGGAGTCATTAAATCACTGTATTTTAGAGTAAGGAGGGGCCTTAAGACTAACTTAGTCTTACCTCCTACATTTTCAGAAGATGACATGTGGCCCAGAACCCAATACCCAGCGTGAGTCAGTGGCAGAATTGGGAACAGCTAAGTCTCTGGACCTTGAAGCCTTCAGTCTAGATCTCCTTCACTATGGTCATTCTGCTGTCTCTTAAAAAGGGTAGTCAGTGGAAAGAAATACACCAGCATGCTAACAATTCTCTTCAGGAAGTAGGATTATAGGTGATGCTATTTTTGACTCATTGGGCCAATTGTTTTTGTTTTTGTTTTTGTTTTTAACTTTCTGGGTCTTGGTTCCTAGAGCTGTGAAATAGGGATGACCACCCATCACTGTCTCCTCATAGTATGTGAACTGGAAGAAGAGAAAACCTGGGAAAGAGCCCGAGGGCCGGGTATGGTGGCTTATGCCTGTAATCCCAGCACTTTGGGAGGCTGGGAGGCTGAGGTGGGTGAATCACCTGTGGTCAGGAGTTCGAGACCAGCTGGCCAACATGGCGAAACCTTGTCTCTACTAAAAATACAAAAGTCAGCCAGGTGTGGTGGTGCGCACCTGTAATCCCAGCTACTCAGGAGGCTGAGGCAGGAGAATCGCTTGAACCCAGGAGGCAGAGGTTGCAGTGAGCCAAGATCTCATCACTGCACCTGGGTGACAAGAGTGGAACTCCATCTCAAAAAAAAGAAAGAAAGAAAGAAAGAAAACCTAGGAAAGGGATATTTTAACTCCTTAAAAGAAAGAAGTATGTACTGTAGTGTCTTATGGTATTATATGGGGGGGGGGTCCAATCAAGCCAGGATAACCAAAAGGCCCTGCAGGGCCATCTTTGGAAAAGAAGAGTGAATTGACCAGAAAGGAGAGAAAAGGTGTTAGTCAGGTCTTCAGCAGGGAAGAGCTGGTCAAGACAATGGCTATAATCTAGGTCTGGCCCAGCTTTTCCTGGCTCAGGGGCTAAAGCAGGTTTCTGGGGGCAGTACCAAGTTTCATACCTCAGTAGCCAAACAGGATCCGTAATGTTTTCTAGTTTCTGCACTGCTTCATCTCGAAGTGGTGCACACAGCAAAGCCATCATGTTGAGAACATACTTAGATAGATAGAGGACTTTCAGAGCCCCATGTTCTGCCTCCTGCTTGAGCAAGTCCGTGTCCAGAGCTTCTTCAATCTCAGTTCTCAGGCGGTTCTGGCGTGGTAATAGCAGTGATAGCAAGATCTGCCCAGGAAAGAAAGTCAAAGGAGTTGATCTGTTTAGAGCCCCAAACTTTATCCAATGGGCAACCCCTTTAGCTAAAGGCATACCAGCCTATGTTGTTTAAGGATCAAGAAGTTGGGTCCCTAAATTTCCCATGGAATATTATTTATCTTTGTTTAGAGGCTAGTGATAATTCAAGGCTCAAGGGGATCAATTACAGGAATAGTATATCATTTTCTAGGCAGAATGAGATATAGAGATAAATAAAATCAAGGAGTGT